TTTTCGCTACCATCGTCGGTAACGTCGGCAGGTAATCGAAACCCCGGTGGCGACTCAGAATCATGAGGAAAGTTTGATGATTTCAGTATGATCTCCAATATGAGTGCTGCTCGAACGGAGTTCCAGAATAAAATGGACGGCATCAAGCAGTACATGGAGCTGAGAAGAGTGAGCAAGCAGGTCAGTGTTCCTCTGAGAAGGTTAGCAGACCTTGTATTTCGTTGAGGCGTTGGTTTCAGTTAGAGATGCGAGTAATCAAATGGTTCGACTATTTATGGGCGAATAAGCAGTCGCTGAGCGATCAACAAGTTCTGAAGGTGCTTCCCGATAAGTTGCAAGCCGAAATTGCTATGCAGGTGCACTTTGAAACACTGCGAAAAGTGCGCATCTTCCAGGTGAATGCTTCGACTTTGTTCTCTTGTGAATGTGAAAGACCTATCGCCTGCTCTTCTTGTAAAAGCCTTGTGGGCCGCCCACTTGTTTCAGACTTTTTCTCGTCAGAGGGAATTAGTGATCTGCCCACTTGTTGGAGCAGAGTAGTGAATAGCAATGGTAACTACCCTATACATATTCTGAAGCATAGGGCTCACATTCACGCCAAACGCCGCGATCTCTTCTTTTTCACTTAATTTTGTGTGTTTTTGCTTTTTGCTCACCCCCTCTAGTGACCTGTATTAAAAAATAGTTGTTTGAAAATAAGGGAAAAATTTAGCAAAAAGGGAAATGCAAAAAAACAAGAAGTCTCCTGGTGCGCTTACCGGGTGTGGAGCGCAGGGCACGTCCTGCCGCCGGGGAAAATTTTCGGAATATAGTACCTCCCCTCCCCTAACTTTCCTCCTCTGCTACGACCCCTATCCTTCCCCATCTCACCTAGTATCTTACCAGCTTTTCTCGGCTTCGTATCGCATCGCATTTTTCGTTTTCCCCCCAAAATGTTGCTTCGAGCGGGGAGAGGGAGGGGGATAACCACCCACCAATACTACCAATTTTGAATTTCAATGTATGAACATGATTCCCCCTCCCACACCAACTGGAACTTTGCTGAGGGTAAGGGTAGCGCTCGTGAAACAGGAAAATTGTCAACTATCACAAGACTCTCAGACCAGATACGACAACCACGATCCCGTCCCTCTACCGCGTCGAATACGACCTCCTGCCAGCAGGATTCCCCGAGGTACGACGTGCACGTGACAGTGCGTTCTACACCTCTAAATCGATCGCACTCCTGTGCTTTAGTCTGTCTAGCAACCTAGAAATACTCTTGGCAAGCCAGAGCTACAGCATAGGATTAGGCCGAAATGTCGGTGTGAGATACGCCCCCCCCCTCCGAATGAGGTCACGCCACGACCCCCCCTCCCCCCTCAAGCCCCTCAGCTCGAACCGGCCTCTTTTTCGCCGACTGACGAGCGATGGGTACTATAGTCGGCTAAGAAGTCGTCAGCGGGGGAGGGGCATATAATTAAACTATTGCAACGTTATGGCGGCGGGTGTTGACAGGGTGCATATAACACAAAAAATTCAGAACACCGAATTCACTCGACCCCCCCTTTTTCCACAGGAAAAAATCAACTATCAAAAAATTTGTCTTACCCCAAATACGACCCCCCCAGCGGAAAAGTACGACCCCCCTATGTGGTTCACAACCAACGATGCTGTTGCCCTGTTGCATTAGTACGACGTGATGCTGTTACTCGGCATGTAACGCTTTACAATTCTGTTTAGCCACTTTGGATATTTCTGTTGCTGCTTTATTCGAAAAATAATTGAGAAATTAACACTCTAACAAGTACCAACATTTGTCTTTCCAACCAGATGGTCAGTAAAAATTCTCCAGACCTTTTTGTTTGTTGTACTAGACGCCAATGATATATCGTTGGCACCTTCAGCGATACGTACGCTCTAGGACCAATTGTCCCTTCTGCTACATCAGCGCCACCGTACCATCAGCGTGCTACATCATTCCCAGACCACTGTGCGGTGAAGGCGAAAACCTTCAGATCCTTCCTTTTTCCTCGATTCCAGCCAAGTTTACCTTCCCAGCACACTGAACTACTCATCCATTAGCAATTGCTTTCACTTTCTGCTCCTTATTGCTTCTTATTTTCATGCGATGCCGAAGCCGCGGCACTGCTAGCTGAGCTGCCGTGCTTTAAGTTGCAGTACATTTTTTAATAAGGTAAACTAACACACAAAGACGTCTAGGCGCGAGACATTATAGACTGTATACATGTTCAGGTGTTTTCTCCCGGAGACTATATCTGCCGGAAAGGAGACATCGGTCGAGAGATGTACATCGTGAAACGAGGCAAACTGCAAGTAGTAGGCGATGATGGGCAAAAGGTTTGTAAACAGAAAGGCAGAAAGAACATCAAGAGCAGAGAGTCAAGCACGAAAAAAATAAGTGAAAGATTCTAATTGACGGCCAAATATATAGCCCAGTTATCTGTAGCACTCCAAGCTAGCTGACTCAGCACAGCAACTTGGGGTTATGTCAATTAAATAACGTCACCTTAGGTCTCGTACCAGTTAGTTTAGTGCCCGGCATAGCACGATAGCTCGTGATCAAGATAGGTGCCAGGGTGCTATTTTCAAGTCATAACTGGCATACGGCTGACAATTGAGCGTAAAAACGCTCCTTGGACAGGACACACCTGACGGTCAACGATCACATACTCCCTTCGTTACGGCATCGGACTCACAACAAGGAATGCTGAGCAGAGTAATGATCAGACATCTTTATAATCAGAAAAATGAGCCGCAGCGCGTGGACGACAGGGAGCTGCTTTGTTTCCCCCTGAGTTTCTCTTCAGACCGATCTCTAGTAGTACGTCTCAGCACTGCCAAGAGATCCGTGTGTCAAGAGCTCTAGGTGGGTCTCTTTGGAAATACTGTACAGCGGAAAGCATATCCAGTTCCTGCAAAGGTGATTGACCTATCCGGATCCTCGCAGATGAGCTGTTTTCGGTCATGCAGCAACAAACTTCATACTACGAGTAGAGTTCTTCCTCCAAAGTCTTGCTCACAGAAATACCCTTGTAGTCAAATCACAACGGCTACATAGAAAATAGTTTTTAGAAATTTCAAAGCTTTAGTGGCCTTTCTTCTGAATTGATGTTCTCACTTCTCTTCAGTGCACATACCTAGCACGTAGCATGAAAAATGGAAAATTTCACACTTAACACTGAAAACAAGTGTTCAGGTGTTCGCCACGCTACAGGAAGGTGCTGTATTCGGAGAACTCAGCATCTTAAATATTGCTGGTGAGTCTTTGCATAAATCAGCTTGATTTTACATAATTCGGGAATCACCATGCAAATGTGGGCGGCCCATTTGCTTAGAAGCCAACTGACGTGATGGTCTCGGGAAAGAAAAAAACAGAAAAAGCCGTCAGGAACGCCCTTAGGCGGAGTCCTACCTTTCGCAGTTTTTCCGTTAAGCTTTGGACAAGAAGGCGCGGCGAAGATTACCACCACGAATCGGCTAATTGAGACAAGAAAACCGTGAAGACGCCAAGAAAGTTTTCGAGGCTGACGAATCAGGGTGCGCCCTGCCTGCTTGAGAACTATTCTCGAAAGTACGACCCCCTCCCCACCGATCTGGGACGGTAGTAATGTGGCATAAACTGGCAGTTTACAAGTAACCATCAGCTCGCGGTAAGGTCGACTGCCCAAAACGCCTATTCCAAGGACTTTATCAAGAAAGGTCGAGGTTAGGTGGTCGTTACCACGACCTGAGGTGAACATTGCTATCCTCCATTGAAGTGCGACGTCATAACGTCGCACTTGAGTTCTCAACTACGAGGGTGGAGAGAGTGGGAGAGAGACGCGAAAAGAAAAGACGCAGATTGTCGTCGTTCTATACAGCGAAAAGTCCTCCAGAGAACTTTTCAAGACGGCCATCTCTGTAGTGCGAGTTGGGGGTTCTTTCAACAAAGCTTCTGTCCAGAAATGCTTAGATTACAGGTCTAGGTATAGCCGGGAGGGCAAAAGTAAGTGGTGCGTTGATGGCCCGGGGAATATGAATCGTGATATGAGGAGGGCGTGGCCATCCATTGCATTGTTGAAGAGAAATTTTGGAATACGTGAAATATTTTCTAGTAAAACGGGTATAAGGGGTGAGTAGCGAAAAATGCAAATATCATATAAAGATGTGCTATTAGAATATGAATTGATATAGCCAGTTACCCCATTCGACTAGGGGGATTTGAGGGGGGAAAATTATTAGGAAAAATCAAACATTCCTCCTAGCAGGATATGCAATCAGAGGATCAAGTAGTCAGTATCATCTTGATATTTCCTAGGGCCGCCAGATGACTCGAAGTGGCTTTTGTGAGCCGGGATGTTGGGGGCGGGGCGATTGTAAAATTTCAGAGTACCCCAAAAAGGGGGTAATTAAACTAATGCTTTGCCAGCGTCGACAATACCTGCTCGTAGAATGTACGGGCTGTCTTCAGTGTTCAACATGGGATGTATCGCGGATTGTGGCAAAACGGGCCACAAAGGAACATGT